CTTGGTTTCATAACCTTTTTAACATGTTTAATATTTGGTTTTGTCTCAACCGGTAAGTGTTCTTATTTTATATGTAGATGCATATAGAAATGAATAAAAACCCTATAACTCGAGCGCTTTCGAAAGGTGGACCTTTCTAAAGACGGTCGGGTTATAGGGTTTTTATTCATTTCTATATGCATCTACATATAAAATAAGAACACTTACCGGTTGAGACAAAACCAAATATTAAACATGTTAAAAAGGTTATGAAACCAAGCGTTAGTAAATTCATTGTTTAACTACTTGCTATGTTAGAGGGATCTTTTTAAAGCTTAAAGGTTGACTGTGATGCGTCTCTCCTTTTTATTTACTTACTTGATTGTGGTGGGCGTTTTTTGTTTCTTATCTCATATGCTGTGTCTTATCTTGACCACAATATCCATGTAATTGTGAAGATTGCAAAGTGAACAATGTGTGTTTCATAACCAAACCTCTGTATTAGCTATTTGCATCTTCACAGAACTTAGAATTGTATGTGAATTCGAAGGAGTTTAACAGGCACGTATTAAACATGAACATTAATGCAGATAACAACACCATGCAGTCATTAGCTGCTCATTTACTTTAACTTAAGTTTTGGTAGTCATGCTGCGTAAGTTTAAGCTTCATTTATAATAGAATTTATGTTGCAAATACAATCTTTTACATTTAAAAAAAACAGAAAATATAAAACTTTTTTTTTCAATATTGCTGACTGATTACTTGTACCAGTTTATATTTGTACAAAACTTCGACTAAAAATACTATTGCATCTTTGAAAATTATTGTTATGTTACAATGCAATATTTTACACTAATCATAAATAATAGATTTATGGGAACGTTTAGAAATTCGAAAATAAAAGAAGAAAAGAGATTTTGGGTTTTATACCCTAAGTAGTATGGGATACCGTTCATGTGCATATAAAAATACATTATACACATACATTTATTTATACATGTAATCAATACTAATGTTGTAATTCTTACATTGTTTAAATATACCCTTAAAATACCACCACCACCTCCGTGTCACAGCGGTAAGTCTGAAGGCTTATAATGCTAAAGATCACGTTTCAATACTCGTGGTTGGCAATGACACAGCACAGATAGCGCATTGTATAGCTTAATAACTTATAACTGTATAACTTAATCTTTCTTGTCTTCAAAGAAGCACTAAGCCTACAATTAACCATTTGGTTACAATATGTGATTGAGATAATTATAAGGGATTCATTGCAGTGTCTGATTCTTCATTTGTTTGTTAAATATATATATTCGAAAATTGCAAGACAGTAATTAATTAATTATTATCTCGCCATTCATTAAAGCATGAAAGTTGGTTTTGTTTATTTTGGGATTTTTCTGTAAAGTTACACAAAGTCTGTCCCTACTTTTGACAAACTTTTGGGCTATTTTTGTGTGAGAGAATATTGGAGTTTATTTCTTATAGCGCACCTACAGCTCCAAAGTTCGGAGTGCATTTTTGAGACAATGGGACGTGAACAATTAACTCTCGAATTCATAGTCTGAGCATTCTTACCACTATATCACGCCCTTCTCAACGATGGAAAGACACCTTTAAAATCGAATGTTTACGTTCAAATTATAATTAATTCATTAGGATATGAACTTCTGATTGAACTATATTATGGCATTCAATTTAATTTCTCTTATGGAACTAAGGTTATAAGAGCTTCTAAGCTGTTGTTTGTTCTATAATTATCACATATCCTAGGTTATTCTATAGTTAATATCTATTAACTTTTGTTCTGTGACCCCACAACTTTAGATAACGTTTATGATAACAAATTTTTCAGTGCATGTCACGAGAAAATTGAACCAAAACAAGCAATCTTTTTTATCATTAGTATTCTTTCATCACAATCAGACCATGTGACCATACTTTACTTCTTCACAATAAATCGCATACAGTTGAAATATCCGACTACATTATCAGATCGCAAAGTATATTAGAAGTTAACTCTATGTGCAAGCTTCTCGAAAAATACACATTTTCTAAGCGAATATAAAAATGGGAAAAAAGATAAAAACATTAACTTTATAAATAAGTGCAGCACCTTAAATCTGAGGTCTCCCTTAACGCAAAAAATCGCACTCAGAATTTTGCAGCCGTAGGTGTTTTATAAAGAGTAAATCCCATTATCCGGTTTGATAAGGGTAGCTCTAAACTTGGCGGTGGGTGGTATTTACTAGCTGCTCTCTAGTCTATCGCTTCAAAAGTATGGGCGGCTAACGCTGATATCCCTTCAGTGGTTATCGAGAAATTCAACACACTCTACGTGGAGTTAAGAACGAAAGAGAAATTAAAATTGAAATAAAAAAAGACGTCCACTGCATATCCTGGTGACGTTGTCGCTCTCTGATAATATCTCAGTATTCTCTCAACTAGTTTCTGCATTTTAGTTTCCTCTTGAGGCTGAACGTCAACGACCATTTATTTCCTTCTAGTGATTATTAGAACTTTTCCGATTACTTTATTCTTGGTTATCTTTAGTTTTCCTTCATAATGGTTTTTTTAGCTTTAAACTTAAAGTTTTACAAATGTTAACTTTCAGATGATATATTTTTATAAGCTCGTCCCTTTCAATTACAACTTCATTTTATGAATAGAAAGTGCGGGAGATGGCGTATTATGACCTCATCTTCTTAGTTTACATGCAGTGTTAATCTGTGTAGAAAGTAAACATTGGGTATTCTTCGTTATTTAATAGTTTGTTTTTGTTTTATTAAGTAGAAGTTATATGCCTTTTTTACCACAAAGAAAAGAATATCACATAATATAAAAGAATGAAAACCAAATATACTTTTATGACTCTTACAAAAATATACTATTAATACATTTATTAAAATAGTGAAACAAGTGAGAACTCCAAGGTAAAGTCAGTGAGATTTTGTTTTGTTTATCATGTGAACTGGACAGGGCGTGGCTTAGTGGTTAGTGTGCCGGGCTGTGCTTCCGATGTTCTATTGTTGACGTCACATTGCTTTGGATACGTGGGTAACAATCAAATCTCATTATTTGATTAAAGCAGTTGACGTTAAAGTTGACGATGGGTTATGTTGACTAGCTGCCTTCTCTCTGGTCTGTGAGTTCAAAATTGGTGCAGATAGTCCTTGCGTAATTTTGCGCGAATATTTAAAACAAAATCACAAATCACACGACTTATAATAATAATAAACTAATAATAGTTTAAACAAGAATTTGATTGCATTCTTAATAATCATATTAAGTGCATTAATTGTTTATTCTACTAAGCTTGTCAGAAGGATTAAGTGACTCCGTATGTTTACATGTTATTTTGGCATTTCGTCAGAGTGATATCTTTCTAACAAATCACACTTAAAGTATTGCGTGTTTTATCAAAACAACCACCCTATAAGAGACCTACATATATCGTTCGCATACTTTAGTGTTACACACTAAAAAAAACTGCCTGGTGTAGGTATAAATTGTTTGTCCTTTTTTCTGCTAACTTTTGCAATTAGTATTTATTCTATGAAATTTATCACATGAAATACATATAGTAATAGTTAAATCTACATATAATACTTACTTCAACACATCTTGAGGAATAGGCCTACGAGTTTAACAGGAGTTAACATCATGTCACTTAAACATTTTAACCATCGTATAACTTTCAGTGAAACGAACCTATTACAGCAAATAGCTTATATAATTTAAATACATTATCAAAATAAAATACAATACAGTATAAAGAAGTTTGAGTCATAAATGAAAAACAAGCAGAATAATCTAAATGTGAAATAAAAATAAATTGAGCATCTATTATTAGTAAAAAAAGTTATTTGAAACAAGAAGAATTGTAGAAAAATATTAATAAAAATATGAATTACCTTAAGCAATAAGAGGAAGAGTTAGTGAATGAAAACAACGATTTTTTGATCTAAACTTATTCATCCGTTATTATAAAAAAAATTAGTTTCTATGCTCATAAGTCAAACATTAAATAATTAAAAACAAACTATAACCCTTTTCCAAAGGGCGAGAAAAATATTTTTTATAATTTAAGAATGATTTTTAGCATACATTATGAAAACAACAATAATAATATGAAAGATAAACTTGAAACAATGTTTTAAAATACTCCATAATGAACATAGATAGAATATTTCTTAAAATATGAATTATTACTTGGTGTTAGAATATTTTTTTAGTTTGATGCTCAGCTAAAGGTAAGATTCAAAAACACCTTTAAAAGATATCCTAGTTTTGTGAAATGTCACATGGAGATTTAGCATTTATGCGGTTGTAAACGTTCTAATTCTGAACGAATTCGCTGCATTGGGTTTACAGTATTTGTCTGTAAATATTTTCTTTATAAAAAACGCATCATAATATGGAGTATATTGATCTAAGTTAAAGAATTATGGAGTATATTGATCTAAGTTAAAGAATTATGGAGTATATTGATCTAAGTTAAAGAATTATGAAGTATATTGATCT